GTGATTTTATCTGTCTTATCTGAGGAGCTAAATGTGCCATCTTTCAGGTCAGTTACATTCATAAAGTTTTATTTATAAGTTCAGCCCCTAAACAAAACACTCAAACAGTTACGGAAAGGGAACAATATCAGTCAAATGATTCTTTCTCTCTATGCCTACCCTTCCTTTGGCTTACTCCACTGGCAATGAACAGGCAGCAAAAATCTATCACAGTCCTATAAAACCCAGTTAGCCTGCCTAAAAAGCAATGAGAAGGATGGATTAGAAGTAGCTACTAGAGGCAGAACTGTGATAGTAAAAACAGGAATTGACCCTGGTAGTTTTTCCCAACTGCAATTGGTAATTAATTAGAGAGGAATAAAAAGATTGCCTTGATGTAGTGAAGTAATTGAATTGTAATTGGATAGCAGGAATTTAAAATGTATTCTAGTCAACAGAGTTGTTTGACATCCATATGTTCAGTAGCCTATGAGGATGTACAGAGGAAGCTGCAATCTAAAACCAATCCAAAGCTTGGTTTGGCAAGAAATGAATAGTAATAGGACATCATTTGATTGGTTAATGCAATGATCCTTCCAGATTAGTTTTCCTTTACATGATTGTAGTCAGTGAATAAAACATTTCCCTAGTACTGGCATCATTTGGCATCGGTTCATACACATCTTCCCAATTTTCTCTAAAACTACACCTTTTGTCATTTCATATCGTTCGAAAATAGCAGGTAGGTGGTGAAATGTATACAGAGTCAGGTCTGAAGTCAGTAAGACTCATCCCCCTGAGTTCTAATCTGGCCTCAGACACTGTGTGGCCTTGGGCATGTCACTTAACCCTGTCTGCCTCAGTTCTTCATCTGTAAAATGAGCTAGAGAAGGAAATGACAAACCACTGAAGCATCTCTGACAAGAAAACTCCAAATGGGGTAACTAAGAGTCAGATGTGAATGAAATGAGTCAACAATATGGTGTGATAATATTCCATTATACTTAAGCATAATATTTTTTTTTCCAGCTGTTTCCCAATTGGTGGACATTCACTGCGTTTCCAGGACTTGGAATAACACAAACTGCTTCTATGAGTGTTTATGTATGTGAATTCTTTTACTCCATCTCTGACCTCTTTATAGGGTATGCACAGTTTAATTAATTTGGGGGGAGTGTAATTCCAGTTTGTTTCTAGAATGGTTGGATTATTTCATAGCTCCACCCACCAAGAGTTAATCAGTGTTCCTGTCTTCCCACAAACCCTCTAATGATTGTCATTTTCCTTTTTAAATATTTGCCAATCTGATAGGTGTGAGGTGAAGGCACAGAAATACTTTAATTTTCATTCGTCTTATTGGTGTTTTCTAGCATTTTTTCATGTTCTTGATAGCCTACATTTCTTCTTTTAAAAACTGCCCTTTGACAATTTATTGTAGAACGGCTCTTGTTCATAGATAGATTGATTGATAGATCCTTATCTTGTATCTCTATGTACCTCATATATCACAACTTTATCAGAGAAATTTGTTTGAAAGATTTGGTTAACTACTTCCTTTCTATTTCAAACTACCCTGATTTTGTTTGTGCAAAAACTGTTCCCCCTATATTTTGTGATTAAAATTGTCTTTAAAAAAACTAATATGATCAACTGTGTCCCTTTTTTGGTCAAGTAATGTCCCCTTATTCATGGTTGTTAATGCTCTTACTTTTCATAAAGATCATTAATTGGTGAAGTTTTCAGTTTTTTGCCCTAAGTTATTCTCCTTCCAACAATTTCCTCAAACACTTTAATTTCACCTTTTAATTTATTGCTTCATTTCTTCCATCTATTCTTGTATCCACTATGGCCAAGTCTTTTTTTTTTTCTTGAGGGGCAGTAGGTGGTATGGTAGAGAGAGTGCTGTGACTGGAGTCAGGAAGACTTGAGTTCAAATCCTGCTTTAGACATTTATTAGCTGTGTAACCTTGGGTAAGTCACTTAACCTCTGTTTGCCTATTTTGTCATCTGTAAAAATCACCTACTTCTTAGGATTATTGTGAAGATCAAATGAGATATTAATTCTAAAGGGCACAGTGCCTGGCATATAGTAAGCATTATATAAATGCTGACTTCTCAAAATTTCTTTAATCATTTGTTATATCTCTTCCCCTTTCAGGTTTTTGCTGGGGAGTTTGTGGTAGAACTCGGTTCTACCAGAAGTGCCATGTCACCATCTCACCAGAAGAGTAACAACATTTTATATATCATTGCTTTCAGGTATTCAATTGCATTCACTAATTGAAAGAGCCATGTCAAAGGATAATTTTGTAAAGCAAGGCTGTGTGTGTGTATGTGTGCACACACAAGCCTCAAATGGCTGAGAAATCTGCTGACCTTCTGTAACATCTTTTGCCATTTGGGTTAGTCTATTTTTTAAGGTGTTATTTTCTTCAGTGTTTTTTGGGTCTCCTTTAGCAAGCTGTTGACTTTTTTTTTTCATGATTTTCTTGCATCACTCTCACTTCTCTTCCCAGCTTTTCCTCCGCTTCTCTTACTTGCTTCTCAATCCTTTCTGAGCTCTTCAATGGCCTGGGACTGATTCCTATTTTTCTTGGAGGCTTTGAATGTAGGAGCTTTGACTTTGTTGTCTTCTGGTTGTATGTTTTGATCTTCTTTGTCACCAAAGTAAGATTCTATGGTCTGACTTTTTTTGCATTGTTTGCGCATGATCCTAGTCAATTACTTGACTTTTAAACTCTTTGTTAAGGTAGAGGTCTGCTTCCATTGTGGAGAATGTACTGTCCCAAGCTTCGGGGATTTTGTGCAGCTGTTTTCAGAGATACTTCTAGGGAGGTGTAAATTTTCCATTCTTCCAAGGTGGTATGATCAAGGGCAAGGTGTTTACTCCTTTCCTGGCCTGTGCTCTGGTCTATGAGTGACCACAAGCATTCTTTTTCTGCCTTGGAACCGTGAGGAGGATTTTCTCTGCACTACCACCATGTCAGTGCTCCTCTTCACCCCAGGACTTCTACCCAGGACTGTGACCCAGATCCAAGCATGGGCAAAGCAAGAGAATCTTGCATCAGCACTGGCAAAGAGATCCCTGCAATCCTCCTCTGATCAGCTACTCAATCCCCTCTCAGTCTGTGGGTCGAGAGCTCCAGAAGCAGCCACTGCCATGGGGCTGCACTAAGACTGGGGCTGGACCAAGCTTTTCTCCCAACCAGTTCTGACAGACCTTTCCTACTTACCTTCTAAGTCGTCTTTGGCATTTGTGGGTTAAGAAGTCTGGAAACCGCCACAGCAACCCATGATTCAGTCCTCTGAGGCCTGCTCCAGGTTCGCTGAGGCCTGGTGTTTGCCTGTGAACCCACGCTGAACTGTGCTCCTCTTCCAGACCAGCACAACAGACCTTTCCAATCAACTATCCAGGTTGTCTTGGGCTGGAAATTTGTTTCACTTTGTCTTTTTGTGGGTTCTGCTGCTCTAGAATTTGTTTAGAATCATTTTTTACAGGTATTTGGAAGGGTTTGGGGGAGAGCTCAAGCAAGTCATTGCTTTTACTCCACCATCTTGTCTCCATTCCCAGTACATCCCAGCAAATATGTTCTAAGGCATTAACACAGAATTGTCTTCTAATTTAACAACACAATTTTTGATCTCATTGAGTGGAATTTATCCCTCGTTAATTTTCACTCACACAAGGTCAGTTTCTAATTCAAGAAATGAATGACTGATTTTCCTGGGTTAATGGATCAGGAAGTTATTACAACCAGATTTCATTTTTTGTTATGTACATAATGCTAATCCTGTTGTTAATTATGACATTTTACATGGAACTAATGATTCCAATAAAAAGTTTTTATTCAATTGTACCTTAATTGGGAAGTTTATAATTTGACACTAGGAATAATCTGTATAAAATGAAAGTATTCCATAAGCAGGTAAGTGTGACCTTATTTAGTTTTCCTATTTTTTCTTTTTGTCACTTAATTTTTAAGACATATTATGACATTAAGCCAGAATGATTTGATGTTATTCTTTACAGAGGGCACATTGTTTTGGTATCACGCTTGGCATAATTTCTAAATGTTGTAGGGATATAATGTAATCTTTTGGTAGAATGTAGTTTACCTTCCAAGTTATAAAAATTTTTTAATTATTTTTTACAAACTAAGCTTATATTTCATTATGGAAGTTTTCTTTGAAGAAGAGACATTTGGGTAATGTACAGGGAGTAGTTTGAGCATTAAAGTGTTCACATGCAATTTTCCCTTCTCTGCATGTCTTCCTTGATCTACCGAAAGATGACTGCTTGGTTTCTTGGTCTTCTTCCATTTTCCATCGAATATGATATGAAATATATCACAGTGGATCATTATGGCAACAGCTTGAATGTTATTAGAAAATAAAAATTTTAATAATACATTCCCTATTAGGAAACAACTCAAAAAATAATAGGGTACAAAAAGTGTTTCCCATAGGACCTAAAAATTTAAATGATGAATGTAGGTAACTTTCAATTGGCAACAATGATTTTTAAGTGCACCATAAAAATTCCATTATTCAAATCTCATTCAATCTTATATGTGGCAAATATTACAATGGGTTTCACTTTATCATATGAATACCATATACATGAAATGAGAGACAGCATGGCATAATGAATCAATGCTGCCCCTAGAGTCAAGAAAATCTGGGTTCAAGTCCCACATCTGAAATATTCTGGCTGTGTGACACTGGGCAAATCACTTAACCTCTCAGTGCTCTAGGCAACTGTATAAAACAATAAGTTGCAGGGAAGCTACTGGATTCCATTGGCACAGAAAGCTTCCTTCTCTAGGAGTTCCCTATGCCATAGGTCTAGTCTTTATCCCCCTAGAATAGTCCTGATGCTACACTACATACATACTAAGTCATATGTGCAATCTATATGCTTTGTGTCACACAAAGGGCTTAGAAACTATTGGATTTTTTTAAAATCAGAAGATAATGAAAACATAACAATTAGACATCATAGTCCAAATGAAGCCTTTTATTTCTTTGTTTTTCCAGTAACTTCCTCTTTCATTCAAGAAATTTGACTTAAAATTTAACAACTAAGAAGGCAAAGATGATGTTAATACTTATATGTGTAAATGGAACCTGAGAGAGCAAAAAGTTTGGATCGTTTTAATTTTCTTTCTGGTCTGTCAACATAGTGTCACAAGCACCAGAAATCTCAAATATTGTTCTTTCATTTGTGGAGTATCACTGGGCCATAGGAAGTAAAAAATAATTGAAACTTTTACTTATATCAATAAGCAGATATATATGGAATGTGCTTTGCAAAACTTACAATGCATTATAATGTTAGCTAGCATTATTTTAACTCCTGTCACCTAGATACTCTGTATAGTACCTGGACCACTGTGATAAAAAATTTTAAGTTCATTGCATTACTCCTATTTGCTAAGATTCAAGAAGACCATTTTTACTTTTATGTAATAGTCAACAAGTATTTAGGTGCCAACTATGTGCCAATGACTGTGCTAAGTTTTGGGGATACAAAGAAAGGCACAAAACAATTCCTAATCTTAAAGATCTCATAGTCCAATGTGGAAGACAACATGCAAACAATTGTGTACAAACAGGCTTGTTGTTGAAGGGATTTGATCAGATTTGAAGGAAACCAGGTGAGGGTGAGGATTGTCTTTCCTTGTCCCTCACTGAACAAATTCTAATGTCACCTCCATTTTTTATTTTATCCTTGTTACTTAGCCAAAAATAATTGTATTAACACTAAAATTACTAAATCCAGTTTCCTTCGCAACACATCAGCCAATCTTTAATTTCATAACCAATTGGTTTGGGGACAGCTGATTTTCTATTTATTTCCATTCTAATATTTTTGGGATGTCTATTTTTGTTATAGTATAAAGAATAATTTGGTGCCTCTTCCATTACAGAGACTCATAAGTTTTGCATTTCTGGACTATGATTGCATGCAGCTACAAAGAAATTATAATTTGAAGCAAACTTTTTTTTGGATTGTCCTTTTCCATTTATTCCATTCACTATTTGAAATTAAGGGACTCTTAACAGATGTGAAATTACCCCTAAAATGAATAGATATTACATGCCTGTATCAAGTTGTTTAAAGTCTAAAATTACTTTCACAATGTCTTTGGTTTTCAAGTGGCAGTTTTTAACCACTCCTATTAATAAACTGCTTTCTTTGTGTTGAAATTCAGCAGCTACTAGGAATAATGAGCAGCGTAAAACTTACAATGATGTATAAGTGGACCAGAATCCTATATATATTTTTTGTCTTATGCATCTATACACACAATTCAAACCTTATGTTGTTTCATGCCTGCAATAAATTTCATTTAATACAGTAGACACGTTAAGCAGACCCAAGAGTCTGGTATCTTGCCTATATTCACTCAGATTGATTAAATCTCCTTTTCCTGATGAATTGGACTTTCATTAGGAATTAGAATAAGCCATAGTGAGTACTCTTTTCAAAATTCAGTTGTTTATTTTCTTCTCAAAGTTCAAAACATTCTGCCTCCATGCACAAATCTCATAAATCATTTTTGGCTGATTTTTCCCTCTGTGTTTAAGTTAGCATAACGCATGCATTATACTAGTGTCTCATTAACATCTTTAACAGCAATGATAAAAATTTCCAAGACACATCAGAACAGATTAAGATATTTCATCTTCTTTTTTTATTGTTTTCAGCACTGAATCTTCTCCCAAAATTTTGCATAGTTCATTGAGTCTCTGCTGCATCTTGGGAATGCCAGCTAGTTGGGATTCCAGTTTTTGTTTTTCTTCACTCAGTGATAAACGAATAGCTGTATCCAGCTGTTCAAAGCGCCAACCTCCTTCTCCATCAAACTGTAATAAATGAGTATGGTATTTCCTGCATAAGCAAATTAAATTAATCCCATTAGCAAATGATTCAGAATTATATGCTAAGACAGATTTTTAAGTAAGATGCCTGTTTTGTAGACAAAAGGGATATAGGAAGAGAACAATCACTAAGGTAGTTAAAATCTTTATTCTTGTCTCTTTAAAATACTTATTGCTTCCATCCTATTTGTTTCATTATGGAATTTAAAACAAGTCATGCTAATGCATTTGATCATGTTCTGAAATAACCTTAGATTTACACAAACCTGAGAGGTTATATAGACAGGAATAAAATAAGGACCTATGGTAAAAGAATTTGTTCTGTAAAACTAGGACTCAGTCAAAAGGCCACACCCAAGGATCTAGAAAGCCACATGTGGCCACGAGGCTGCAGGGTCTCCACTCCTGGTATAGTTAGTATTCTGAGGCAATGTGGGCTTCCAAAAGCATATTATAAGTGTCAGATTTTTAAAAATTAAGCATTTTTATAGAAATGTTTCTAAAAGATACTACATACTTCATGGACTTCTTAAAAAAGTATTTTCAACTCCCCCCCCCACTTGTGATTTCATGAAATATAGAAAACAACACATGTGGAAATATCCTGGACCTGTAACTCATCTGTAATTCTGTAAGTTTTTACAGAGAGAGTTGCCAGGGACCACAGGGGTTAACTAACTTCCCGTTCACCCAACCAGCATGTGTCAGATGTAAGACTTGAACCCAAGTCTTCCAGAATATGAGGCTGACTTTCTATCTACTATGCTATGCTGCCTATCATATCCTGTATTTGGAGGATTTAGGGCTATCATGAGGAATACCAATTACTGAAATACTAGTAACTGTTATTCCCAAATTGCTATAATTTTGGCATAACTTTGGCATAATTTTCTCATTTGATCCTTAAAATAATTCCACGAATTAATTCAAGTATCATCATCATCATCATCATTACTGCTTTTCCTATGTTACAAATGAAGAAATTTAAGCTCAGAGATGAATTAACTTGACACGTTGACATAGTAAGTGCCAATGAGATCATATCCAAGTTTTCTGACTCCATGTTTAGTCCTCTTTTTGTTACACTAATAATGGGCCTTTACATTAAATAATCCCCCTGTATTTTATTAGTTTTTATATCTGCTTTTTATATTTTTTCTGCTCCCCCCCTTGACCATCAGTCTATCAGCTATAACTGTTGTTCATGCTCTGAGTAGCCCTCAACTACATTTAATTTGTAGTTTCTAACCTTCTGCAAGTTTGTCATAATTCTATCTGACATTATAGTAAATGCTTTCTGAGTGAAGGCCTGGCAAATGCATGTGCTTAATAACAGGGGTCTTTTTTTGGGTTGTTGTTATGATGTAGAAATCTTTTCCCTAACTTCTGGGTATTTAGCTGTTTGAAAAAAACAAAACTCGTTTGCTTTTTCCCCTTTTGTGCTTAAGGAAATAATAACAGCTAGTGTTTATATAATGCTTTATCTGTTTGCAAAGTGCTTTCCAAATATTTTGTTTTATCCTCCTAACCCTAGAATGTAGATGCTATTATAATCTCCATTTTACAGATGAGGCAGAGTAACTTGCCCGGGATCAATCACACAGTTATGTCTGATGCTGAATTTAAACTCATGTCTTCCTGACTCCAGGTCCAGCATAGTATCCACTGTATCACCTAGCAGCCACTTAAGTTAACATAATGCATGCATTACAACAGTGTTGCAAAGTTGTGTTCTCAAAGACTAAGAGCACATTGCCTTTGCCTGTAATAATAAGATATGCACCAGATATTTTTAAAAGAGAAAGAGAAATATCCCTATAAAAAGCTGGAAAGAAAACAAAAGAAATTAGAAAAAATTAAAAAATTAAATGAGATAGAAATGAAAGAACAAAAGAAGAATGTATAGTTTCCTTGTAAGTATTTTATCTACTGAACTTTCAAATTCTGGGTTTACATAGGTGAACATTAGCATCCCACACTGAGGAGCATTATTAGGACACTATAGCAATTAGAATGCTCTTTAAAATGACATATTCCAATCTTGACCAAGCTCTTGCCTTTAATTTCCTATTTAGGTTGGGTACACCACTCTGTTCCTACAGCATGAACTGATTTCTAAACAGGAAGAGAAATTTGCGTAGGTGTCTCTTGTCCAGAGTTTCAGAAGTGTGCTCTCTAGGTGTAAAATGTCTTAGGGCATACTTTTGTCAGTAGAAAGAAAATACTGCTCTTACTAAAGTTTATTGGAGTTAACCTGCAACATACTTCCAACCCCAAAGAAAAAAAGCACAGGAAAGTGGTCAATGAAAAGCTATAATTTTATCCAGGAATCTAATAATTTAATAAACATTTGCAGCTTTGACATTCACAGATATTAGCATTGATTTTTACCATGCAATCAATGATTACTCATCTACTACATAAAAAATGCAATATAATTTGCTTTGTTCTGGTACTCTGAAACCCTGTATAATATACACCTCTCAGATCCAGAGGGAAGGGAAGCTTCTTCTGTCTTTTCTCCTCTACTAAGAGACCTAATAAATTTCTTTCTAAAACTATTTCAGTTTTGGGGGTTCATTCTCATGACTAACACAGTTTATTTTAAAATGTCAGAACTAACATGCCTAAAAGGCAACATGTTATTCAAATTCCAAAACAGTAGGATAAGAAATGACTTCATAGCATAACACTCAAAGAATTTAACTGAACATGACAGACAAGTCCTATCCTTTTCCACTTAACATAAGTCAATTTGATTTAGGATCAGCTCTGGAAATATAGTTCAATAGTAGGCAGGAAGAACACAAATTGGTCATTATTACCTTGCATGATTCATCCCAAGTTCAGAGGACCTCAGAATTCCAGAGTAAAGGCATAATTGGCTAAAGGTTTCATTCATTCATTCAACAACAAATATTATTAGACTACTATTGTATGCAAGGCTTTGTGCTAGATACTGAAAATACAAAGATATAGGTATATATAAATATATGAATATATATGCATGTAAGTATACACACATATAAAATAGATCTTACACATGAGGAGTTTATAAGGGTACTAGATTTAGAATCAGTGCATGGGTTCAAATTCTTACTCAGCCAATCACTACCTATGTGATCTAAGGCAAGTCACTTAATGTCTCTGGGTCTCACATCAAACTTTTGGTGGGAGAAGATGATCTCTACAATCTCTTATAAATCCAAATACTATTATCCTATAATAAGAAGGAAGGAGGAAAGAGAGGAATGAGTAAGATATGTACAAAGAGGGGAAGGAAATAAGCTACTAGGTGACAGACATGTGTTAAGCACTTTACAAACATTTCATTTAATCCTCACAACAAACCTGGAGGCAGGTACTATTATTATTCTTATTTTGTAGTTGAGGAAATTGAGGCCAACAGAGGTTAAGTGACTTGCTCACACAGCTAGGGGGATGTCTGAGGTCAGATTTTAGCTCAGGCCTTTGTGACTCCAGGCTCTGTTTCATTCAGACTCTATTCACTGCATCACCTAGCTGCCTAGGGAAGGTACTTAAATAGTTGGAGATGGGGTGAAAAGAGGATAGGAATCCATTTCAGCTATGGCTTGAACAAAGGCATGGGGGTATGAGAAGGCAAGGTATGACTGGGGAACAAAGACTACTCCAGTCTGCCTATAATATAGAACATGTAAAAAAGGAGTATGATTAGACATTTTTGGAAAGGTAGGCTGGAGACAGATTGTAGAAAACCCTTAATGCCAAGATCAGTGGTTTAATATTATTAAGTAGTGTCAACGTTGGGAATGGGAATAACAACAGATTGGCTGAGAAATATTCTTTGGACCAACTATTGTGAGTTTACCAGCAAGGAAGTCTTACCCAAAGAGGCAAAGATTCCCTGAATGAACAATACAAAAGGTTTATGTAGGTTTCTCAGAGTAAGGAACAGAGTAGGGGATGGGGCAAAAGTTGATTGGTCAAGGTCCCCATTGCTGGGGCTTGAGGCTGATCTGGTGCTTAACCTTTTACCCAATTTCAAGGTTAGGGGTTTCAGCATATGTGGGAGGCTAGGCTGCATCTCAGAATAGGTTGCACTACATGGCATATCTTGTTTTGGGTTATTTGCATTGCAAGTACTAAAGGGGAGAATATAGACATATATATGTGAACAAAATGGGAGTGATTCTCAAAATTAAGTAGCTCTGGATCCACAGTAGGCAATCTGGAGCCAATGAAGGTTTTCAAATAGTGAAGACTTATTGAATTAATTTTGAACCTAAGTCTCCTTATTTCACCTGAACTGGAAGTGCAGGGGCCACACATGGGTCCAATCCCACTGCTAACTGGCACAAGACGTCCTCCTTTTCCAACCCAGCTCATTTTTTGCTCCTTTTTGGGTATTATGATGACTCCCCAGTCTTGGAGGCTCACCATATTGGTGCCAGACTTAGGGTAGATACCTGGCTGGCTTTAGCTTTACTACACCTCAGAACTCCCAAGCTCAAGCTATCTGCAAAGCTCAAGGTCCCCTAACAGATAGGCACAGTGAATGTAGTAAAGATTTTTAAGACACAGAGTAATGTATGAAGATATATTGAACAGGAAATAGACTAAAGGTAGGAATATAAGCTAAATATATTTTTTTGTCTTCCCCAGGGGAGTTTAAGAGAGTCCATACTGAAACTAGAGTTTCTGTAGTTGACTTGAACTGAAGTCCACTGTATTTCCAACACTTTACAAAAGCAAACATACTTTTCCCACAAGGGCCTAGTCTAGGCCCCTAGGCCTTAGGAGGTCTCCAAGGGTAAACTCAAATGGATCCTATCAATGTATTGGCTGAATGTCTGGGGAATGAAATTCAATCAACTGTCATAGTACACTGAAGCTAAAATTGTGATGAGAGGTGCAATATTCCAGGAAAACAGGGGACTCTGGCAAGTCAGAACAATCTAAGTTACTAGTATTGTATAAGGAAATAAAAACTTTTGAATTATGAACTGGCACGCTCAAGCAGAGAAATTATGACATTCATCATATAAATATTAAGTAAAGTGTTTTCTAGGCTTTATCCATGGAGTACATTTTAAGCTTGTTATTATCAAATCACACTTCAAGATAAATGAATAGAAACAAGTTAAAGAATTATGATGATATTATATAAAAAAAGGAAAATTCTAATAAAATTCTTAAAATTCTAGAACGTTATAGTTAACCTTCTTGAAAAAGTTTCTTTTTCTTTCTTTTCTTTCAATTACATTTTTTGGGGGTGGTGGAAGAGCATCAGCCATTTCTTTTGCATACTGCCCTAGAAATTTGGGAGATAATATTAAAACAGATTTTTCTTTCTTTCTAAAGATTAGGGAATTAGTGTGCCAAGTATCCCTTCTTAAAAAAGTACATCATATTTTATATTTCTTTCCAAGTATAATGTATGGCATCTCAAAAATTTGTCATATTTTATTTCTTTTTAGAACACACATACAGCAATTTCAAGAGCAACACATAAGTATCTCAAAAAACTGTTCAAAATTGTAATGTGATGTGAATTTTGAATTTCCTCAGTGCACATATTAACAGAAACTTGAAAATTAAAGTAATAGAAAGTCTTAACTATAATCCCTGGCCTCTAGTATACAACGCTGTAGCAACACAACTCTTTAGATGTTTGATAATCAACAATTTGAAAATAAAATTAATAATTAAAGACATCAAATTTGGAACTTTTGTAAGAACTTACCAAAGAGAAGGCCTGTGTGTAATTGATAACAAGGATATTCCAGCACCTTTTGCAGCCTGAAATATCTTCCCTTCAACATCAATGCTGACTGCACTAGTACATTCATCCAGCAGTGCATATTTTGGTCTTTAAAAACAAACATTAACATGTTAATAAATTTTTACATACAGAATGAGTTTAAACCTTAAAAGTTTCACTTTTTTTCTAATAAAGGCAGTCTGTAGAGCTTTTTCTTTCTCAATTTTTGAGACTAATTTGTGTAGTAGAGGTATTTAAAAATTATTTAAAAGTTTGATAGCATTCTCCTAAAAATCAATGTGGACCAGGATTTTCTTTACTTTTTGGTAGTTCCTTTAAAGCCAGCTCAATGTTCTTTTTTGAAACTGTATTAAGATCGCTTTATGATACTCTGATAATTTTGGTATTTCATATTTTTGCATATTTCCTTTAAATTCTCAGTTTTGCTTGCATATGACTGTATAACAGGTTCTGATCATTCTTTATTTCTTCTCTATTTTTGTGATTTTGTTCATTTTTATTTATTAATCTGATTTTCCTTCCTCTTTTTAATCAATTTGGCTAAATATTTCTTATTTTTGCTGGCCTTTTCAAAGAACCAGCTTTGAATTTTGTTCAGTTCTATGGTCTTTTTCTTCTTCTATTTTTAATATGAGGCAATTGGGGTTAAGTGACTTGCCCAGGGTCACACAGCTAGTAAGTATCAAGTGTCTGGTCTGAGACCGTATTTGAACTCAGGTCCTCCCAACTCCAGGGCCAGTGCTCTATCCACTGCGCCACCTAGCTGCCCCTATGGTCTTTTTCTTTATAAGAAAATAAGACCTACTAGAAAAATTATATCTTAAAGTTCTCTAGAATGGGAAGATTGGAACACAGAAGTAAGATTTTGTAGACTGAGATTTTCAAAGAGAAAAAACACAATCAAAGCTAAAACCATGAGCTATAGCAAAAATATGGAGGAAATCTAAGCCCTTACCCTTCTTTCGTTTTCTGAATTTTTGCTACCATGTTGCTTATTGAAACAAACTTAATTGTAGTTGTGGTTTGGGAAGCAAAATAGAGCAAATAACAGCTGCAGCTTCTAGTGAAAGAGTATGGGGCAGTGAAAAGAGCACTAGATTTGGAGTCAAGAGGACAAGATTTTGAATCCTAACTGTGTGACTTACTGAAATTGGGCACACACTTAACTTTTCTCACACCCACTCATTGACCTCATGCATTCCCTTCCTATGCTCCAATTCATCTCTTCTCAGTCCTTCAATAGTGCTCTCTGGAACCTTGCTAATATTATTAAGAAACTTACCCTTGTCTTAGTCTTTCCATCTCATGTTCTTTTAATCTTGTGGTACCCATGGGGACCTGGCTCCAATCAAAACACTTCACCCTGTATCATCCCTTCTAGGATTTAATGCGCATTCCCTCATGTGCTATGAGGCTCTGAACTAGGAAGAGTAGGCATACTTCTCATCTCACAGACTCATCATTCAATAATCTTTCCTTCTGTGAGGTTCACTCTACCTGTATCTATCACTCTTTCCAGAGTTTATTGGTTGTTATTGACAAGCCCCTAAATTCATTCTCAATCCTTTCTAAAAGTGTTCAGTACTTCAATAAATCCGTATATAACATACACTCCTAATTCATCACCTTTTCAACTATCAATACCAATACACTCACAAGAATTATACACTTGATCTCACCATCATAGAAAGGGGTTCTTTTCCATGATTAAGAACTCTATCCAACCATAACCTTCTATCATTTCATTTCTCCCTTTCACTCTTCTTAAATATATTCTTCACTTTTTTCATCATCTCTAGTCCCTTCATTCACATAATACCTAGCATTTACATAGTACTTTAAGATCATTTCTTCCTTGTCCAATCTTGAGCAAACTAGAGGATTTTAATTTTGTCCTTTAATCATTAATCCCTTTCCTCAGTCCTATTTTCACTTATTTCTTTTCCAACTTCAACCCTTCATTACCTCTACCATCTGCTTTGTACTCAAGAGCTGCTGTTAACTAGTACAATAGGAAGTTAGAGGCAAACAGGGTTAAGTGACTTGCCCAGGGTTACACAGCTGGTAAGTGTCTGAGGCCAGATTTGAACTCACAAAGATGAGTCTTCCTGACTCCAGTCCCAGCACGCTATCCACTATACTATTTGCCCCAAAGATATCTTAGAACAAATCATAAATAATAACAGTCCACATGTTACAAACATATTAGTGCAACTGACATTGACCACTAAAACAGGTGCCTGAATGTGTATGTAATGGACTGATAATAGGAACGTTTTCTTTTATAATGCACCAATATTATGTCATGCCACAATCGGTAATAGATTGCATTCTTTACAGGCAAAGCTTTAACAACATCTTCAACTCCAAGTAACACAACAACATAGTTTCAACTATTGTAGGACAAAAGGGGGGAAAAAAACTAACTTCATTCCTAAGCCTAGGTTAGATGAAAAAAAAAAGAGTTATTAAAAGCCCAAAAGGAAAAAAATTAAAGACTCTGAAGTCACTAAAAATCTTTATTTCATATAAATTCTAGGAATTATATCCAATAACTAAATGGAAAACAAAAACAGACCTAGTATTTCAAGTGATTTGAAAAGGACATGGGCATTATTTAATTAAAAACCCTTTTTGAGTTTTGTGGTGTGATTTTAGCTAACAGGTCAATCATCCTAAAACAAAATAATAAAAAAGCTGGTCATTACTAAGAACGAAAAAATCTAGTCTCTCATGGTATTTGATAAAAAGTGTGAAAACAATCCAGGACCTGCACAAAAAAGTATACCAGACAGTAGCTAACATGGTAAGAACAATAGGAAGAAAGGTAGACTCTAAGGAAAGACATTAAAAAAACCCCACCATGGCCAAAGTGACTTGAGAGGATTACTGAAGATCTGAAGAAAGGTATTAGAATATTTCATCAATGTCAAGCTGTTATATGCAATAAAAAATATGAAAGGGGCAACTAGATGCACAGTGGATAGGGCTCCAGCCTTGGAGTCAGGAGGACCTAAGTTCAAATCTAGCCTCAGATACATAACACTTACTATCTGTGTGACCCTGGGCAAGTCACTTAACCCCATTGCCTAACAAAAACCAAAAAAAAAAAAAGAAAAAGAAAAGAAAAGAAAGAAATATTGCTCAATTAAAAACAACAAAAAAGAAATATGTAGAAAGGAATCCAAAAACCAAAAGCATACCAAATATTCTAGATTCCTTTAGTAAACAATTGATAGCAACAGACAAAGGAGTTAAAACAATGTAAATAACAAAACATTCAACATCAAATTCAAACATTAAAGAGTAAATAGGAATGGTTTGCTAGAGTTGAGATTAGCTAACACAAATCTGTGGTGTAGTCACAAGGTTTTACACTTTCTTTCATTTCCATTTAGTAACATATGAGCAGGAGTGAAGGGAGCAGTTGGGAGAGAGGGAGGGAGTAATACAAGGTTGGAGAAAAAGGAAGGAGATTGAAGAGTTGAAGATAGTGTAAAGATGAAGTGGTTCACCAAAGGGTCAAGACTGGGAAGAAGGGAGAGTACAACCAAATAAGGGTGATGGCCTGAAATAATAATGCTTATTGGAAGAGCTGAAGAATGTTTTGAAGATCTGAGATAATGGAGATAAAGAACAGATTTAGGAATAGTTAGGCATAGAGAAAGATAGGAAGACAAAAGATTTTGATCAGATAAAGAAAGATCTTTTTTTTCCCATTAGTAGTATTTCATTTTTTCCAATTACATGTAAAGATAGTTTTCAACATTCACTTTTATAAGATTTTGAGTTCCAAAATTTTTCTTCCTCCCTCCCCAAGATGGCAAGCAATCTGATATGTTATACATGTACAATCATATTAAATGTATGTCCACATTAGTCATGTTGTGAAAGAAGAATCAGAACAAAAGGGAAAAATCATGAGAAAAAAAAAGTGAAGATAGTATGCTTCCATCTGCATTCAGACTCCACAGTTTTCTCTGGATGTGGGTAACATTTTCCATCACAAGTCTTTTGGAATCTCTTGGATCATTGCATTGTGAAGAAGAATTAAGTTTATCACACTTGATCATCACACAATGTTGTTGTTACCATACAATGTTCTCCTGGTTCTGCTCATTTCACTCAGCATCAGTTCACGTTAAGTCTTTCCAGAGTGTTCTGAAATTCGCCTGCTCATCATTTCTTATGGCATAATAATATTGCATTACTTTCATACACCACAATTGTTCAGCCATTTCCCAATTGATGGGCATCCCCTCAATTTCCAGTTCTTTGCCACCACAAGAAGAGCTGCTATAAATATTTTTTGCAGATATGGGTCATTTTCCATTTTTTGTGATCTCTTTGGGATACAAACCTAGTAGTGGTATTGCTGGATCAAAGCATATGCACAGTTTGGTTGCCCTTGGGCATGGTTCCAATTCGCTCTCCAGAATGTTTGGATCAGTTCACAACTCCACCAACAGTGCATTAGTATTTCAATTTTCCCACATCTTCTCCAACATTTACCATTTTCCTTTTCTTAAAGAAATATCTTGAATATAGAAATGGAATACTTCTGGGTGACTTAATGTCACATAAGTGGCAGAGCCATAATTTGAATCCAGGTCCTCTAATTCCACATCCAATACTTTTTCTACTGTACCACTTTACCCTCCATTTATATTTCTTAAACTAACAGACAAGAAGTCCTGATATTACGAATACAGACCGCAAAATATCCTGTATTACTTATTTATTTATTAATACACAACATGTATTAAGTGCTTACTAGGTAGCAGGCACTGTGCTAAGCACTGAGAATACAAAGAAATGCAAAAGCATCACCCTTTCATTCAAGAAGCTCATATTCTAATGGGAAAGACAGTGTGCAACAAACTACATACATACAAGGTAAGACAAACATTATGAGAATACAAGTTAAATTTCAGAAGGAAGGACCTGAGGCCAGATAGGTAGACATAGGGGAGACTGAACCAGCTGGATGGGTAATAAGCTGAGCCTGGGCCACCAGTATCTCCTTTAACTCATGAGCCACTGACCATGAAAGCTAAAACTACCTTTCCCTGAAGCTGCACGTCCAC